TGCCCTCTTCCACCCAGCCTCCCCACAGGGCCCCCGGGCCTGGCGTCAGCCCGCGCCAGCCCTTGCTGCTTGTTTGTTCTTTTCCTCTCCCTGGGGCTGGGAGCGGCAGAGTCGGGGAACATTTCATCATCCTGCACACACCTGCGGCTCTGTCTTTCTGCCAGGCACGGCCAGGCCCATGCAGCTGGCTCCGGGAGCAGCCAGCCGGTGGTTTGTTCTCACCCTTCACTGGGCGGCACCATCTCCTGCCCCAGCCCCACGTTTTCTCCTGATTGCTGCTAACGATCTGTCTGACTGTTGTGCCTAGGAGTCCTGGCTGGGAATCAGGCAGCCGTGGGCCTTGACCCTGGTCAGACACAGAAAAGGCCAGTCCCGGAGCCCCAGCGCTGACCAACTGTGCAGGCCCACATGCGCAGACAGACCCATAGGGGAAAACAAGCACAGAACAGGCCAATAGCACTTGCCACACCACACTGGGGGCTCTGCACACCTCTAGCCCAATGGCTGGCAAGGCGGGGGCAGGAGAGTTTTAAGGCAAGAGTGGAAGGTGGTGGGTCAGGCGCTAGCTTTGCAGGCTGGCACAGGAACGGAGGCAGCACGAAGGGTCTTTGACAGATTGGTAAGGGGGCAAGGGTTTGCCCCTTCCCTATTGAGTGAGAAATGATTGATGTCCGTGGGGGAGCCATGAAGGGCCTCAAAAGTCAAGACAAACATGAATGTGCTGGAGCAAGGGGGAGCTGTGGAGAGGGGAGGCGAGACCGGCAGTGGGACAGGCTGGGAGAATGACTGGCAGAACATGATCGCCAGCTGGGGTGCAGGGGAGGATGGTGATCAAAGACAGAGGGCTCTGGGAAGAGCCCCCAAAACAATCAAGTGCTAGAAAACCTGCCTTCCAGCAAGAGACACCAAGCGCTCTATTAGAACTTAAGAACGGCCATACTGGGTCAGCCCAAAGGTCCATCTAGCTCCATATCCCATCTCCCAACAGTGGCCAATGCCAGGTGCCCCAGAAGGAATGAACAGAACAGGTAATCAAGTGGTCCATCCCATCACCCATTCCTCGCTTCTGGCAAACAGAGGCTAGGGACACCATCCCTGCCCATCCTGGCTAATAACCATTGATGGACCTATCCTCCATTAATTTATCTAGTTCTTCATTGAACCCTGTTATAGTCTTGACCTTCACAACATCCACTGGCAAATTGTTCCACAGACTGACTGTGTGTTGTGTGAAGAAATACTACCTTTTGTTTGTTTTAAACCTGCTGCCTATTCATTTCATTTGGTGGCCCCTAGTTCTTGTGTCATGAGAAGGAGTAAATAACACTTCCTTATTTACTTTCTCCACACCAATCAATTTTATAGACCTCTAGCATATCCCCCCTTAGTTGTCTCTTTTCCAAGCTGAAAAGTCCCAGTCTTATTAATCTCTCCTCATACGGCAGCCGTTCCATGCCCCTAATAATTGTTGTTGCCCTTTTCTGAATCTTTTCTAATATATCTTTTTTGAGATGGGGTGACCACATCTGCACAGAGTATTCAAGATGTGGGTGTACGGTGGATTTATATAGAGGCAATATATTTTCTGTCTTATTATCTATCCCTTTCCTAATGATTCCCCACATTGAGTGGATGTGTTCAGAGAATTATCCACAATGACTCCAAGATCTCTTTCTTGAGTGGTAACAGCTAATTTAGCCCCCATCACTTTATATGGACAGTTGGGATTATGTTTCCCAATGTGCATTACACATTTATCACCATTGAATTTCCTCTGCCCGTGGGTTGCCCAGACCCCAGTTTATTTAGCTTCACACAGAGGTTAAGGGTTGACTTGATCTCCTTCTCTCAGGACCTCGTGGGGCACAAACATTAGGTGAGAGGCTCTTCAGTCCAGCAGAGGAAAGGCCATGACCCCCTCCACCTCTGCCCCCCATCGCACCAGCCCCCAAGGATGGACACCAGCTCCTGATCTCTCTGCGCTGCATTTATTCAGACCCCATGGAGGGCCCAGGCTGTGGGAGGTCACAGACCCCTCTGCCCTCAAGCTAGCCCCCCCCGTGCAGTTTCCCCTCTCAGCACAGGGGGACACCACTGAATCACCACACCAGGGAGGGGACTGGCCCAAGCATATCCCCACCCCCACCAGGCTGGAACTGGGGGCATCGCTCTCCATGGAGTGGGGATAATTCCAGGGTAGAGAGCAGGGAACAAGCCCCTCCACACTCAGAGACCGTCAGTAAGGAAAGGAATGCACTGGGCTTAACGCCTGCCTGGGGGAATAAGGCACTTAGAGGGGATGGGGCCTTGACTGCCCACCACCAGCGAGAAAATCAGTGGGGCAGGCACCTCGCCAGAAACAGCCTGGCCCATCCTTGGGGCTGGAGAAAGGGGACCCCCTGCCAGACCCACCCGCAGACTCAAGGAGCAAGCCCCCCTCCCCGGCATGGGGCTGACAGCACAGTGTCGGGGTAGGGGGTCACTGGCCATCAGCCTTTTTTTGCGGGATGCAGCCCTCCATCTCCAGCGCCTCCGGCCAGCCTTCATACTTGTTGGTGCTCTTGCTGTTCTTGGTGTGCTGGGGGAGGGGACAGCCCACGTTAAGGCAGAGAAGGGGCCCCCCAGCTTCTCCACCCCCCTCAGTCCCAGGGTCTCCCAGCCTCTTCCCCCATCCAAAGCTGTGACCCATTCCCCCCCTCCCCGAGGCCTCCACTCATGGGAATCTCTGCAGGCATGACAGGACACCCACTGGCTGGCCCCAGGTCTGCCCTTGGGAACGCAATCAGCTGGGGACGGGGAGAGGAGTGGGGCTGGGCCCCCGGCAAGGGGGAAACGGGAGGGTGGAGGGGCTCACCTGCTCAAAGGGGCTTTTGTCCTGCACCCCCTTGGCCCCCACGAAGACCCAGCTGTCACGGAAGCCAAGCTCCTTGGCCACACTGCTGCCGAGCTCGCTGAAAATCCTCCGCGTCTCTTCGTTCATCCTGGGGGCAGAGCCCTGGCTAAGCAGGAGGATCAGGGCCCTGCACCGAGCCAGACAGGGCCCCCACCTTGGGTCTGGATGGGAGCTGGCACCCGCCAAAGGGGAAAGATCCCATTCCCCACCCCCCTGAGCCAGCTAGTTCTTGCCCTGGGGCCGGATGGGAGCTGGTGCCCCCTAGAGGGGAGAGGTCCCATATCCTGCCCCCCAAGCCAGCCAGGGCCCCCACCACTGGCCCTGAGGCTGGATGGGAGCCAGCACCCCCAGAGGGGTGAGGCCCTAGGCCCCATTCCCACCCCCCTAAGCCAGCTAGTCCCCGCCCTGGGGCTGGATGGGAGCTAGCACCTCCCCCAGAGGGGAAAGGCCCCACTGGGCCCACATCCCACACCCACTTGGTGGCCGGGTCGTCGTAGGAGGCCACGAACACCAGGGTTCCCTCGTGCAGCGTCCGAATGAACTTCAGCAGCTCGTTGACATCTGGGGGTGAAAGATGCAGGGGTGAGTGCAGGCCTGGGCCCCCCTGACCCACAGGGTTCCCCTGAGCCTCCCCTCAGGTTCCTGCCTGTCACACAGACCTCCCATACCAGGGTCTCCCACCTGGAGCCCCCATGGATTCCCCCCGCCCCCCAAGCCTCTCCCACAACTGTGACGTTGTGCAGTCTATATGGTTTTATAAAAACATGATAAGTGAATA